CGCAGGGTGTCTGGACTCTCCCTTAGAGATAGGGTGAGAAGCTYDGTCATCCAGGAGGGACTCAGAGTAGAGCCGCTGCTCCTCCACGTCGAAAGGAGCCAGTTGGTGGTTCATCTGGTTAGGATGCCTCCTGGACTCCTCCCTGGTGAGGTGTTCTGGGCATGTCCCACTGGGAGGAGACCCAGAGGAAGACCTGGGACACGTTAGAGGGACTATGTATCCTGGCTGGCCTGGGAACACCTTGGGATTTCCCCGGATGAGCTGGCCCAAGTGTCTGGGGAGAGGGAAGTCTGGGTCTCTCTGCTTAGGCTGCTGCYCCCGCGACCCGACCCCGGATAAGCAGCAGAAAACAAAAAAACGGACCTTGTTTAGTGTCATCCCAAACTGTTCAACCAAATAACCAAGCCAAATCACTTTAACTGACACAACTTAGCATTTAATTCAGCTGAAAGATTTGTAAGAACAAATACTCAAATAAGTTCAGTGAGTTATTAGCTTCATTTCAGAATTTTACATAAATAAGAATTTTTAATCAACTTAATGTTAACTAATGTTCTTTAAACATTTTAAAAACTTTAATCACATCTCATTTTCAGACTGCAGCGACATGATCTCCAGTATAAAAGCCATGAAGATCCTGAAGCGAGTCGGAGGGTCGAAGGGCATGTGGACCAAAGACACCAGCGGCGCCWCGGGGAAGGTCTTCGTCTTCAACGGGACAGCCGAGGACACCATCAACGAGTTTGCTACTGTCAAAGACTTCACCCGCTCGCAGGGCTTCTCTCTGTCCACCRACGTGAAGCTCCCATCGGCCTGGAGGGGAACGGGTCACGTGGTCTACAACAACCACGTGTACTACATAACCCAGGCCGAGGAGATAATGGTGGTCAAATACGACCTGAGGAATAAGTCGGTTACAGACAGCGTGGTGTTTCCAGAGCAGGACCACATCCCCGTGTACGGCCTGAACCCCAACACGCTCATAGACCTGGCCGTGGACGAAGAGGGCCTGTGGGCCATTTACGCCACGCAGCAGAAYGAGAGGCACATCTCTCTGGTGAAAATGGACAGCAACTCGTTGGATGTCGAGCAGATGTGGGAAACGAACTGTCCGAGGGAGAATGCCGAGGTGGGCTTCGTCATCTGCGGCACCCTGTATGTGGTCTACAACACCATGCAGCCCGGGCGCTCCCGAGTGCAGTGCGTGTTTGACGTGAACGACATGGTGACGAATGAAGAGGCGCCTCTGGTTTACTTCCCAAAACGCTACGGATCTCACTCCAGTCTGAAGTACAACCCGCAGGAGCAGCTGCTGTACGCCTGGGATGACGGCTACCAGATCCTCTACAAACTTATCATGAAACAGAAGTTAGAAATTTGAGCTGAACGACACCAAACCAGGCCTGATTTATATTTTGATGTTTTTTTGTTTTGTTTTGTTTTTACTATATTCACATGTGTGGCATCTGTTCTATTTCAGTTAAAACCCAAAACAGAATTTAAAATCCACCGTAGATTTCACACAAGAACAAAAATGATGCAACAATAAAGGAATAATCTGGTCATTTTTGAAGTRATAAATGGATCAGGGTTGCCAGGTATGTGATTATTAYCGCATTTATAGGATAGTTTTAGGGTCTGTGTAATATACAGAAAATCCAAATATACAATAGCTTTTTGTTGCATCAAATTAAACAAATCTCATTTTGAGATGAAACATAAACACCCACATGTCACCAGAAMGTCTGATTCAAACACCTGTGCCAGGTGCACATGTTCACCCAGTCACCAGACYATACCTTAAGACAACAACACATCTTAATAATGTAACTTATTTAAAATGTTATTATTTTTAGAAWTCCAAATGTCACCAGATTAACGCCCTCAGCAGTCATTACAAACAACTTTAAACATTAGGATTTGCTGCTCCAACGTCTTGCATGGACTTCCATTCATTTAATTTCTATAGCCTAACTCTGACCTTTAAACCTAAACCAGTACCCCACCACCCAAAATCGGCATCCGTACCCGCTGGGTCCAGGCTTTGGTTCCCATAAGGAGCATTGGRTCCCCACAAAAAATGGACCCCGTGATGTAGCAGAAACACATCCACACACACATTTCACATTAAAATAAGAAGTGTGTGAACGTCTATTTAATTGGCTTTTAACCAAATGCATTTCTTTATATCTACACATATCCCTTTGTTTAATTGTGCTCGTTTTATTTTGTTTGTTAATTTTGAAAAACAAATCTTAGCTACACCTGTCAACAGTTGAACTATCTTGCTCCGCTACACCTGGTTGGAGTTATGAACACTTCTCCCTGTAAGATTCATGAGCATTGACTGTCTGTGTTTGTAAATAAAGCATCTGCTTACGCACGAGTCTGCTGAGACAAATGGATTACTACAAGTTTGTTCAGTGTGACCACTTATAAAGTTGCATCTTTATGTGTATTTGTTATCAAACTGAAGGATTTTGGACATAGAAAATTAGATTTTTTTTTTGTCAACCCTGTCAGAATTGAAATCAATTTCTCCAAACTGCGGACATTAAAAGCAATCTACAACAGGTAAGATATTGATAGTTTCTTTACTCTCCACAGCCCCCAGTTCAAATGATTCTATTGCTTTATATATTTATTTTTTGCTAAGTGTGACAATTAATTTAACAATGTTTAACTTAAAGACATCATCAAAGACASTCATGAGAAGTAGTACAATTGTTTTTCTTCAAAATCAATTATTAAAATGTTTTTATCAGTAACTACTTTTATGTAATTCCATAAACTGACCACTGGCCGCCCTGATTCCTACAGAGCAACATTGGAAATGTAAGAGTCCTCAGAGAACCGTCTCCGAGTCTATAATTGGGTCCAGGATGTTCCCGGACACATTTACCCTCTGTTGGAGCGGTACCAGCTCTCCATGACTCAAGAAGGCAGCAGAACTAATGGATGGATGAACTCACCTCCAGTATAAAACTCTGCTGATCCTTCAAATTAAGAGTTTCTACTTTTGCAGTTTTCCTGTTGAACTGATAATGTATTCATACAACCATCAACAAACTTTTAAAAATGTTTATTTTGTTCAACTATATATAAACAATTTCTATAAAACTGTGCATTAGGTTTGAATAAAATCTGAAATTAAAAAAAAAAGTTGCAACAGCAAACTTCATTCTGAAAAAATGGTGTTAAAACARGCTTTTATAGCRGAACTTCAGTTATAAGAAAAGATGTGGCTATAAAACACACTTCAGATGATTTGGACCCAAATAGTGCAAAGAACTGACAGAAAATTCAACTTTGAGGAAAAAAAAACTGCTGTAATCTCAGGTTCTTTTAAGCACCAACTGTTCAATAGTTYATCTTACAAAGCATGTAGATACATTTGTGCACAAACCCACAAACGTTTAGTTCTAACCCTTCGAATATTTGCTTTTGAACGTCTACAAGCTAAAACATTTTATTCAGGAAGAACTCAGTGGGAGGCGGTCTGAACTGACCTCAATGAGTCCCAAATCACAAACAACAGATGAAGTTTGGCAGCTGCACATAAATAYGTGAATTAGAAATTACAGCTTCAACACTTGGAACGTTTATAACATGACGCCTGAAATAACACAACTTTCAGGACATCCAGCTTCTTTAAGGCTTTTTGATAATGAAGAATCGTACAGATCCTGCAGTGTCCAGGTTCTCTGACTGCCCAAGGTTCTGATCTGTAGCGAGGCAAGCGTGGTCCTTATTGCTCAGATATTAATGACATTTAAACACCCTGRCGTCTTCGAACAAATTAAAGCCTCAGTTGAGGAGCTGGCATGGTGACGTCCCGGAAAAACCGATGTACAAGAGCATTCTTGGCAGAAATCCGTTTGTTTGGATCATAACACAGCATTTCCTGAAAAGAAAATGAAAAATCCAGTCAATTAAAACATTCTTTTTGCTCATTAGGTTTTTGAAAATAATTAAATTCACGTGCTTACTCCCAGCAGTTCTCGTCCATCCTCATCAAGAAGAGGCACCACTTTGGATAGATCCTGCTGAGCCCACTTGGGAAACGATGGTTTGTAGTCTGGCATYGACGTGACTCCGGGCCAGACGGTCTCATCAGGAGTCCCCAGTGTGCGGAAGATTCTAAACAACTGATCTATCTCAGAGTCACCRGGGAACAAAGCCCTCCTGGTGATCTGTGGACACAGACCTGCCAGTTAGACAACATTAGATACGTCATACTTTTTCTGATTTATGAGGAGGGGACCAATACCATTTCAGCAAAGATGCACCCCAGACTCCAGATGTCCACAGCTGTGGAGTAGTATTTGCAGCCCAGGAGGATCTCTGGTGCTCTGTACCACAGTGTCACCACCTGAAAATTTAAGACAAGCAACCAAAAACATAAAGCTTTATTTTAACCATAAACATCCAGACTAAAACAAAGAGAAAATCAGAGAAAATAGTTAATTCTGATGATAAATGTAGGAGGAAAAAAAAAAAGATTGTGTGAACCTGGTTAAACTGCCTACCTCGTGTGTGTATGTGCGTACAGGGACCCCAAAGGCTCTCGCCAGACCAAAGTCAGCCAGCTTGATCTCACCCTGCGCGTTGATCAGGAGGTTCTGGGGCTTCAGRTCTCGATGGAGAACTCTGTGAGAGTGGCAGAAGGCCAGGCCTTGCAGCAACTGGAAGAGATAACTCTAAAAAACACAGAAAGAAAAATCCCTCAAACATCCACAGAACATAAATCTATAACATTTCAAGTGTTCTAAGCAATCTGAAGTGATAAACACCTTAACCAAAGGCAGTGGGATACCAGTGACTGATGAGGAGTCCATGAACTTTTTCAGATCCTGATGGAGGAACTCAAAAACAAGGTAGAGTTTGTTTTCTGTGTGGATGACATCCCGTAGTCTAAAAATACATTAGAAAGTAATAATAACATCAGACACAAGAAATACAAACTGAATTCAGATTCTAAAGTTAAGAACTTACTTGACAATATTTGGATGACTGAGTTCTTTGAGAAGTGAAATTTCYCGGATGGCCGTGCTTGGAACACCTTCTGTTTCCCTGAAGTAAGAAAAACACAGTAAAATGAGTTTTTAGGCTTATAGTAATGTCACCTAAACTCCTCTGATAATTACACCTCAATGAATGATGATCTGATATATTATTTATCAATAAACTACATTCTCATAAATTATGACAGTTTGAGAGTGTTGATAATTTGACACCCAGTTAAGCAGACTACTAAAACTGTAAAGCTTCAAAATAAAAGCATGTGTATTACAGATTTACTATCTTTCATAAGTCTTTAAAACATGCTGAGACTTCTAAGCCGGTGGTTTTCAAAGTGTTGTTTTTTCCCCTTTTCTTCAGGGGTTGTCACATAGTGAGTCATCCTGCTCCATCTCACTCTGTCCTCACTCCAACTACCTCCATGTCCTCTCTGGCTGCATCCATATATCTCCCCTATGGTTTTTTCCCCCCTAGCAGCTGCATCTCTAACATCCTTCTACCAGTATACTCACTGTCCCACCTCTGGACATGTCCACACCGTCTCAGTCTGGTTTATCTCCCAGTCCTTCAACCTGTGCTGTAATGATCTCATTCCCAATCTTATCCATCTTTGTCACTCCCAAGCAGAACCTCAACATCTTCATCTCTRCCACTTCCAGTTGTCTCCTGGCTTTTTGTCATCACTGTCTCCAAACCATCCAACAGAGTGGATCTCACTACTTTCTTAAAACCCTTCATTTGACCTTCGCTGCCACCTTTTGTCACAAAACATCCCCCAAACTTTTTCAAGTATTTACACTTGCATGTAAAAATCACTGCTCGTAGCATATTTTCCACTATATTTGTTACAAGAATTAAGATAGTAGTTATACATTAATGTGATATTTGCATTTTAAATATAGTTTTAATAAAAGTTTATTTCAAACAGTAATAAAGTCACAAACCTCGGTCACTATCATGTTGTGGATCAAAAGCCAAATAATTTAAAAAGCACAGATTTAGGGTTTACATTGAATAAAGCATTATTGATATTTTGTCACCATCTTATTACAGGTGGTTATTTTTTTAGGTTAAACAAATGATGTGAGGTTTTAAAAAGCTCTTCCGTCAAGAAAAATAATGTGGTCAGTTTTGGATTACACATTAGATTTTTATTTATAGGTTACAGGAGAAATCGTTCTAGAAGTAACAAATACTACAGTTTTTATACTCCTGTCACAGGAAGTTATCAGATATTAAACATAACTTGGTGTGTGTTGTTTTTAGCTGCACTGAGCGTTAGCTTGTAGCGCTGAGAGGTTAACTTACGTGTCCAGTCGGATTTTCTTCAGAGCAACAGTTTCTCCGGTCAGTTTGTTCTTGGCTTTGTAAACCACTCCATACGTCCCTTCTCCTATCTTCTCCACCTTCTGAAATGCATCCATCTTGTAGAAGAGTTTCGGGGTTCAGCTGTTTAAAACTCGCTCTTTGTGTGGAAGCTAACAGAGCCGCTCGCGCGGAGGCTACACCAGCAGCAGCAGCTAAGCGGGGACCGACAGAAAATAACAACTGCCCCGGCTAACTTCACACAGTCCGGAAACGCCAGAGCGGGAGGACGACGGATCACCCTTCGGAAAATAAACGTTCTCAGGTCAAAACGCGGCTCTCCAAAACAAAACCATTCACATTTGTAGAGCCTGTTCGTTGTACGCGTAAAATTGAAGGGAAGCGAATTGATTCTGTTGTTTCTCAGCGAACCAACACGTTTCCCGCGTTGGGCCGGGTGCGTTCGTTTTTGTCTCCACCATACACCGATCCTTTTTAGATGGGTGGTATGTTATTTTATTTTTTATGTTTTATCGCACAACAAGCAGCATCTTTTCTTGAAATTGCAATAAATGAGACATACATTGTCGAGTTCTTATAATGGGCTTTTCATTTTTGTCTCAGTAGTGTTTAGATTCCTGATTAATTCGGGACGAGACGGAGACAACCATTAAGCGCCCCTCAAATGTCACATGGTCAACTAATGATGACGTAGTCCTCATGGGACGAGGTTTATGTGAAAGAAAATAGACTATTCATTGTTATTAAGATAATGTATTGATGTATTTTTTGTTTTTGAGTAAAACATTGTCTAAAAAACAAACAATTTTTTATCAGAGCTTGAGTGGCAATGTATTTTATTTGTACAGGGATTTATTTAGCATTTTTTAAATATTTAATTTTCTTCATTTTACATTTTATTTTCCTTTTTGTCCTTATTGTTATGTTCATTTAGTTGACATTGTGCCTGTTTGTGTCATCAGTTTTGTTTGCATTTACTTGTTCATACTTTAATATTTGTTTACACTTTCTTATTGGGGGGAAAATGTTATTTAGTATTCTAAGATAGATTAATTTAGTTTTTATAAACATAAAGCTGTAAGGGAACTGGACTGATTAAAACGTGGTTTGTTTATTTTTACATGCTCACTACTAAATGAATGGAATAGTACAGAATCATGGAGGTGTATTCAACTGTACGCACAGAATAGGTAGTGGCTCCCTCTAGTGGTAGCTTTCTTTCTTTCTTTCTTTCTTTGCATCAGTGGCAGCATTATTATGCAGATACACATGCATTTGTATAATTAAAATAGTAGCTCCATTTCATATGGTTTCTTTGGTCATGTGGACACTCCTGCAGTGTCTTTTTGTAAACTCTGCTAATAACAACAACAACAACAACAACAACAACAACAACAACAATAATAATAATAATAATAATAATAATAATAATAATAATAATAATAATAATAATAATGCATCAAAATTCTTCAGTGCACAATGAAACAGGCCTAAGTTGAAATCAGACCAGGGGCTGTGTTTGGTGTTTGACATAATAACTGTGCTCCATGTGATCTGTTTAATCTCTTGGCTGTGATAAACTTTACACTAAAGGCACAGCAGGTTCTGTTGTGTAGGTTTGGAATATGTCTAAAATGCAATGACCTGATGGGAATCTTCTATAAGTCAGATGTTTTTTTCTGCTGTGTGAAGGAACAGACTCTCTGTCAGTTCAGACATAGAAAGCATTCATAACAATTCTGCACATGATCAAAGCCCTGCAGCTTAACTCCCAGCTGATTTATAGCTGAAAGAATGTCTCAGGGCTGCAACAAAACAAGCATTTTTCATTTTATTGTGTAAAAATCATAACCTGACTGTCATAAATGTTCTTCCACGACTCCATAGTGCAGTTGCTGGGTTTGGTTTGTTGAATGCAACTGAATAACTTCTGGAGACGACTAAATTCAAGATGGCCACCACAGCCACCTGACCTTGATTGCAATTCAGTCTTTTTTACGGAACAACAGAACAAATCAGGGCGACCTCACTGCTGAGGACATGAACCGATCTGCCTGTGGGGTTGGATCCAGACGGCCTTATTGATGCGGTTCTGAATAACCTTTATTTTATTTCCACAGTCAGTTCCTCATCCTTTTTTACTTTTACTTTTTTTAAATACACCAACCAGCAACCTTTTTGTTCAGAGAACATTCTAATCTTTTTAATGATTGTTTAAGCTTTTGGGTTTGCTCCCACAGTCTAGAAGCAAACACTGATAATGTGAAGTGGAGAAAGAAGAAAAAAGAAGCTAAAGGTTGATTATTTGTGGTATGTTGAGTCAGGTGCTCTTTGGGGGGGATTTATTTCCTCCTGAACAGTGCAGTGAGCACATGAGGGATCACATGTGGAGTCTCTCTGCCATGAGGCATCGTCACCGGGAAAACCACCAGAGATGAGAACCTCTCTGTGCTCAGAGAAAGGAATTTTACTTCTGCACTTAAAACAAAATCATAAACGTACAATTTCAGATGCATAAAATACAAAAACAAGTAGTAAAGAGTGGTAAAAAAATTTAATATTATTGCTTTGTTGAAAACTTCACTTTGATATTTACGTTAGGAATGCTAATATTTTCTACACACCAATTTGAAAAAGTTGCATTGTGTAAAATGCAAATTGAAAAAATGCTGTGATTTGTAAAATCTCATAAACCACGTGTAAAACTCAAGGCCTGCGGACCAAATCTGGCCCTTGTTAACATTTTATTCAGCCCAAAAGGTCACACTTTAGATGTTTTTGTCTCTGAATTTAGTGCCTTCTTCTCGTGATTTTCGGGACAAGAAAATTAAATTTGTATTTTTCAGCAATCTTAGATTTTGGTGTAAAAGATGAACAGAAAATTAACTTTAATTATCTTTCCTGTTTTCTTATTTTAAAATCAGATAATTGGATATATGAGGCTTTTCTTCTTTTACATGATTTGTTGGACTGTGATATAATTTTCTTTAAAAAATAATACATGGAAAAGTTGTTGAACTATAGTAAAATAAATTAATGCTAAAAATGTCTTTCTATATTTGATGTTTTTTCATCTATTATGTATACAGTAGATGCAACATAAAGCACAATTAACATAATCCTGGGTCTTCTTGGTGGATTTTTATTTATTTATTTATTTATTTATTTATTTATTTATTTATTTATTTATTTATTTATTTATTTATTATTTCCCAGTGATTGCTAGAGAATGGATGGATGGTGGATCAAAGATTTTTAAGGTCTGGACGCCTGGACTCTTCTTAGAAAGCCACTCTGTTGTAATGGATGCACATTGTGTTTTATTGTTTTGTTGAAATATGCCAGGTCTCCTCTGAAAAAAATAAAAAATAAGTCATCTAGATGGACGCATATGTTCTAAAACGTGTTTTTACACTTTCCACCCACTTTGTGCCGCCCCTGCAAAGACTGGAGCCAGACATGTTTGTTGAAATTTACTTTTATGCCTAAAGTTTAATCTAAATTTTTATTTTTATCCACATGGTTTTTATTTACTCATGTCTTCATGTCTTTATTCATGAAGCCACCTGAGTTGTAAACTTCACCTTCACAAGTTTTCTTGACTTGAGTGGATGTGGTTTTTCTACGGGAACACTGCAGTCCTTTTGATCCTGATAAATAAAATGCATCATTTTTTTCACCACTGATTTACTTTCTGCTATATTTTTATAGTTATTTCAACTTTAATGCTGATTTTTTTAGACCCTCAACATAATTTTTAAATCATTTTAAACAAACATGTTTGATTATGGTGTAAAGTGAAGCAATATAACCTTAATAGGGTTCTTCAGACTCAGGCCTCTCTTGCAAGAGATTTGTGATCTCAGATTTGCCTGGTTACACAAAAGTTAATATGTTTAGAAACAGAACACATCTGCACTGAAACAATCCCTGACTGACTTACAAATTAAGAGTATTTTTCTTCAGTAATATTCTTTCAACTCGAAAACAGTTTCTGAAAAACCCCAGATAAGAAAAAATGCTGGATTGTGATAAAAGACACATGTATCCTAACTTTTTATCATCTCCACTTCTCTTCCACATGGACTTGTTTGAGTCTGTATTACTGTGAGCTGCAGCAGGAAGGTGAACAGCAGGATGTGAAATAAAAAGCTGCTTTTGAATGAACTTCCACACTCTAATCTTGTGACATCCACGCAGGCATCGCTGCAAGGTCTTATTTCACATTCAGACATCACTTGAGCTCTGTTCGAGCGTCACATACAGAAAGTTTTATTGACTATAAAACTTTTTACTGTACTTCAAAAAACACGTTCTTGAGGCGTTCTCCTTTCCTGTTCTGTAGTTTCCTTGAAAGCAGCTGCTTTGGTTGTAAATGTTTTGATGAGTTGTTAAAAGGTCTGTTAACACTCAGTGTATGTGTCGAAGACGACTCTCAGCTACTACTATACCCAACTTGGCCATTTTGAACTGGGCTGACTCTAAAAGTTTTTACTTTAATTTATTTATTACATTCAGAGAGTTTCATTAAAAATGCACTCATGGGTTCATGAAATATTTTGCTAACAGACAAACACAAGCAGATGCATTATCGTTGATGGTGGTGGGGAAACAATAACAACAATGCTCTGACCAAACAGACGAAAAGTCAACGAGGGGAGGGTCCCAGTCTGCGGACTCCCAGTGATGTCAGAGGCCAGAACTTTTTTTATGGTAATTCAGGTCCAGGGGTGTTTTAAAAAGACTGAGGGGGTGGGGGGTTAAGGTTTGAGGTCTGTTTGGGATTCAGGACAGCAGGGTGAGGATCTGGGCTCAGACAGGAAACAGAATGAGGTCTTTGGCGTTACTCGTTTTGGCTTTTACCTCCGTGCTGGCCACAAGTAAGTAGATCTAAAATTATACATTTATATAAACAGACAAACAAATGTAATCATTAATTGTTCTGAAATTACCATTTAAAGTAATCATTACAACATTACAAATTACAACTAAAGGATGTTCTTGATTTAAAGTCACCTACAATGAATWGATGTTAATAAACAGATTTTCAGTTTTCACAGATTTTATAAAAATAACTTAAATTTTTAAAGGATTTTCTTTTTTCTCTGTCACACGTGAAATGTTGCACCAGTACAGTTTAAAAACAGCAACATAACTTTTTTAGAATTAAAATGATTATGTATTAACTCAACATTGTGTTTTATTTGTTTATTTTAGATTTTTTTATGGTTTAGACCCATAAAAATCAAATCTGTCATCTCATGCTTGTTTCGCGCCGCTTGCACACTAAACACTTTGTGTAAGAGCAGAAACATGGATATTAGCTTCTACAAATCTGATTTTACWCCAATAAATGTTTTTCTTATTACTTTTGAATTGAATTTGAAGTGTGGTAACTTGGAGCTTAAAATGGAAGAGAAAACAAACGTAAAAATCATTCACCCTGTTAAAGTGAGTGTTTTCTATTAATTATTTTTTTTTGGAACAGGTTTTATTATAGCTGAGACTGGGGCCCTCACACCTCACTGGTGCTCAGCTGAGAGTCACATGAAAGGGATTGAGGGGGGATTGTGGTCCGTGTGACTCCCACCGCCATTTTACTCCCATTAAGAACCAACATTTTGGTTAAAAATAAAACATATACTGGGTTTAATTAAAAAAATAAACTGTTTCCACTCAACTGAATTGAGTAAGGSTAACATWTATTTTACATTTACCTTACATTTATATAAAGGCAACTTAAAGTAAATGTGCTACATTTACTCAGTTCAGTTGAGTGGAAACAGTTGATTTTCTGTTCTTTGAGTGACAGCAACACTTTGCCAACAGTTACTAGTGTTTTTGCTCCTTTTGTTTCTCTTGATTTTGTTTTATATTTTGGGGGGACTTAATGATTTTATTTTATTTTATTTATTTTTGCAGGACAGAGAAGTCAGTTCACACGTTACAGATCGTGGAACTCTCGGATGTATCCAGTTTGGCAGGACGGAGACCCGAGGTTCAGAAACTGTTGGTTTGGTGAGACCTTTTTGGTTTTTCTATTTAAAAAAAGAAAGCAATTATTACTACAATTATTAAATTAGGTTTACCCTTTTTCTTCAAGGTGGTGAGGTGACCTTTGACCTCAAGAACGACGCGCCCACTCTGACAGGAGCGAGATCAACTTTTACCATCAATCTTAATTTCCCACCAAACCAGACGGCGCTGCCTGATGGCCAGGTGGTGTGGGCGCAAAACTGCACCATCAACGGTGAGATAAGACCGAGTTCGAGACAGAACATGGTTTAATATGATCAAGAAATGTTCAGGACAAGAAATAATGGAAATAATTTCAAAACCTTTCACTCCTAAATATGATTATTATCTGAAAATGTGTCAGATTTGTAAATATTTGTTTTTGTCCTCTGTCAGGGCGTCAGTACCAACAGGGTCAGGCTGTGTATTCGGACCAGACCTCTGAGTGGACCGGAGTTTTCCCTGATGGCACACCTTTTTCGGTGACCCAGAACAGGAAACCTCGCTACGTGTTTGTGTGGAAAACATGGGGTAAATTTAAAAGACTCTGACTGAAGCAAAAGCCACTTTTGGACTTTTTTTTTTACTGAAGCAGCTGTAAATTGTGGATCTCTAAATATTAAAATAGTTTCCAACAACACACAAATTTTACATTGAAACATTTTTATGTCACCTTTAAATGCCAGATCTCCACACAAAGAACCAACAATAAACTGGTTTGATGAGGATTTAATAATCATTTGTTATTTTGTTCCTGTTTTTGAGGGCGTTTCTGGCAGGTTGCAGATGGACCTTCCTCCTCCCTCTCCATTGCGACAGATAACGTCCCACTGGGCTCCTACAACATGGAGGTGGTCATCTATCACTGCCGAGGGCGGGACAAGTTCATCCCACTCGGCTACGCCTCCACGGTCTTCACCATCACAGGTGGCCTGCGTCTTCTGAGCGCTACGATTCCAAAAGTTCATTCATCCCCTTTTTTTCCTTTGGTAAATCTCCCAACGATGCTCCTTTTTTTTGGTCTTTAGATCAAGTTCCATTCAGTATATCGCTGTCTCAAGTCAACGATGTAAACCAGAACGATCAGAACTTCATCCAGAACCAAGCAATCGCCTTCGCCGTCGCCCTCCACGACCCCAGCCAGTACCTGAACAGCGCCGACATCAGCTTCAGCTGGGACTTCGGTGACAACAGCGGAACGCTCATCTCCAGAGAGCGCACCGTCACGCACACCTACCTTTCAGTGGGAACCTTCAAACCTCAGGTGGTCCTGATGGCGAGCATTCCCAACTCCTGCCAGAACCCCACGGCTGGTGAGAGTCCACATGATAGTTCTGGGGGGCGGCTTAATGTTTCTGGACATAATATTTCAGTTTTTGTTTGTTTTTCTTACAGTTGTGCCCGTTGATGCCTCAGCAGCYCCAGCTGTGGTCATCATGGCGTCCACCCCTGCAGCTGCATCGTYCGAGGGAGAGGGTGCGATTGCCCTGGACGTCCCTGCCTCTGATGCCASTCCCGTCGCCGCCTCGGTGCAGCCTCCTGAGGAGGAACCCGTTGCGGACGCAGACTCAGAGGCCGCGGAGGTTGCTTCAGTGGCTCCTGCAGGAGTGGATGCAGCGGTTGTCCCAGCAGAGCAAGATCCTGCCGACACAGCTGGAGAGGCAGATGCTGCTGAAGAGGAGGCCGACGCCGCAGCAGCTGAAGACGTGACAGCTGCAGAAAACGAGCCTGTGGCTGATGCCGCCGCCTCAGCTGCTCCTGCTGTTGCAGCTGATGTGCTTGAGGGYGCCACTGTCGCCCCAGAGGCAGAAGTAGCTGCAGAGCAGGAAGCTACCGATGCCTCTGTAGAACCTGCCGAGGCTACAGCCGTCGCCACAGAGGTGGACCAAGCTGAAACCGAAGCACCGGCTGGTGATGTCGTCGCACTCGCTGCCACCGAAACCRCAGAGGAGGCTGCTCCAGCTGATGCTGAGACGGAAAACGTGGTCGCTGCTACTGAAGCCACCACAAGTAAAGATCTACCACATGTTTCAATTACGACAGAGTAGAAAGAGAAACAAAAAGCATTCAGGCTAAATCTGTTACACAGGTGAGGAGGAAGCGGCTCCGGCTGAGGAGGAAGTTCAGGCTGAAGTGGAAGCAGATCCAGCTCAGGTTGCCCTGGTTGTGGCCAAAAGACAAGCGCCGGAGCTCCCAGCCGACTGCAGCCCGATCTACCGCTACGGCTCCCTYGCTACAACTCTGGATGTTGTCCGTAAGTGTTGTTGTGTCATTCTGCCCTGGTACCTATCACAAAACTGCACCTAATTTTAAAAACACCACAATAAAAAGCTTTTCAATCACGTTTTTACGATCCTTCTTSAACCCTGCAGAGGGTATTGAAAGTGTGGAGATTGTTCAGGTGGCCAACGTTGTGTCAGTGGCGACGGCATCGGACCAAAATGCTGTGGATGTCACCATCTCCTGTCAGGGAAGGTGGGTACAAGCTTTCATTACAGGCTTTTACTCTCTCTCTCTCTTTGCATTTGCAGTTGTTAATGTCTTCTCTGAACCAAATCTTCCACGTTCATCATTTTCCTGTCCTCCTTGACCTTGCTTTTGATTATTTCTTCTTCTTCCCTCTCCCACTTGTAGTCTGCCAAGTCAGGTGTGCACCATCATCTCCGATGCCAACTGTGTCACACCGGTACAGACCATCTGCAAYGCTGCCTCGCCCCCTCCAGACTGTCAGATGGTCCTCCGTCAGTTCTTCAACGACACCGGAGTCTTCTGCCTCAACATCTCACTGGCTAATAACATCAGCCTGGCCATGGCGAGCGCCAGAGTCAGTGTAGCAGTAGGTGAGTGAGAGGGAAAAGAAGAAATATTCACTGAAATCACTCATAAAAGTGTTTTTTTTTTCTTAAWTGAACCAGTATGATTCCATTCATTTCAGCCTCTRGTGGTTCACCAGCTGGTACTGCTGCGACTGTGCTGGGTGGTATGGTTCTGGCCTGCGTTGTTTGTTGTTTGGGTTTGATGTACAGGTGAGTGAAGAAGTTGAGAAAGTCACTAATAAAAGGATTAAAATCATAGTTAATACTCTGAATGAAACACTAAAAATGATTAACATATCCGAAACAAGAATGTTGTTAGAACATGTTTTTGTCAAAATCTGAGTTTTCGTAATCTGGGCTCTTTTTAGTTGTTGTTGCTTTTTTTTTTTTAGAGTTTCTTGAACACAAGTTATAAATTTCTCATTTCTTGTGAACATGGGAATAAAAAAATAAAATTTCATATAATTGCAAGAACAAAACATAACACAACATAACACAGGTCAGTATTAAAAAGATCAAAAGTTCTGCTTAACTATCCAATTAAACTAAACACTCAGAAACACATCATTTACTACAACAAAAAACAACCTGATTGAAAAAAATGTTCAGAAATCAGATAGAATAAGCTGCAGGCAGTAGCCAAGAACATATTAAAACTAGATACCGCATAGCAGCAACATAATGACCCCCGCACGCACAAATGCACCATAACTCAGAAGTCTTTATTCCTAATAAATGTCATGCTACTAGGTGCATCCCAAAATTGTAGTGGTTTGGGTGGGGGTCTTTTTTATGGGGGGAGGGGGATTGGTTGACCTGATGGATAGCCCCTCATCAGAGCTAAATAACAAAAGAAAGCTAAAGCTCCTATATTTAATAGTTTTTGAG